GTTTCGACGTTGCTCAAGAGCTCATCAGATTGCATTAAGAGGGCCCCCTTCTCAAAAAATATCAATTTTCGTCAAATTTATCGATTTTGTGATTTATAGTCCGTTAGATAGAGCTAAGTGTCTACTTTCGAATGGACTATAGTTTATTGATTTTATGATGAGATTTAAGGATATTGCGCAGGCTTCTCTGAATCTCTCATAGGAGAAAATAAGTTTTTTCCTAAAAAGTTTTGGTTTTTTCTCAAAATAGGAGTTTCGATTTTTAAGTTTCCGTGCGTTCCAGATTTCTCCGCCATTTAAAACTCTAGAAAGCTAGACTTGGTGTCAAAATGAAGCCAAAAATTAGCTCTACAACTTAACCGAGTCAGATTTTTCGATTTTCTCATAAATATTTACAAGAAACTAACTTTTCTGGAGCTATATCCATTGGCTTTTTCATATTTCATCAGAGAAATTTTCTAAGAACACAAGCTAGAAGAGAAACGAAAAATCGGGCTCTGTTCAGTTGTAGCGCTACATATCGGCGGGTGTGGGGTGTGGGTATAGCTGATGCTGTGAGCCCTTCCTGAATTCACATCCACATCCGCACCGACACCCACACCCACCCACCCACCCACCCACACCTACACTCATACCCCACACCCACCCCCAGCCTGTCGACGCGTTTCTTTCTATACCCTTGAACATTTCATTTATTCAGATTAGCGACACCGCGGCATCCGCACTCTTTGATGCCCTCATCCTCACTCTGTTATGTGCCCTACGAATTAGACCAACTAGTGGATGGATATGGACTTTCCATATAGAAAGAAGTGCGAACATCGTCATATTTTGGATTGACATAATAAGGATGATCAATTGGGTTATCATAATTGGCACGTATGTCTCGACCACGCAAGCTATTTAAACACTCAGCGTTCCAGTGTCCATCACAACCGGCATCACAGCAGTGGTATTCATTATGAAACGAGCAATAATTACCTTTTGATATGCGTACTTGCAACGAATTTGTTTGAACTAAATATACCACAATATAAGTTGGCACTGCAGCAAGATTATTGTATAATAATAGATATTCAGTTGGAGCAATATAATATTTTCGACTAACTACAACGGTGTCATAATTCTTTTCTGCAATGAAATCGGCGATAGACGACTGCGACATCCAAGTCTTAATCACCGGTTCTCCACGAGTCGTGTATCCATAATTTATTTTTGCCATTATCGTGCATCTCTGAATGGTTGAGTTGCTGAGTTGTGATGCACCATTGTAACTGTGACAGACAAAACTCATATTTGCAAAATAAGTAGCATTACCCCAACATCGATATGACCTCGTATCTTTACGTGCACATTCTTTTTTAAATCCGTTTCGGACAATTTGACATATACTGCATGTCTCCAACATGCAACTGCCGTTATGACATTTCGCTGAAGTACCATGCCATCCAATACGTTCTTGTGTTGCATATTTTGTATTAGAACGAACGAATTTTTGATATTGTGATTCAAATGATGGATTATTAATCTTGTGAATTGCGTTGACTCTCACTTGAGTCCTTAATTCATTTGGCCATCCATCCAAAAACTGCTTCTCCACCAATTTGAATTCTTCCGTTGACCTTGAAATGGATGTCGTTAAAGGCACTATTAAAAAAGAAATTTTTATGTTCAAACTATTAGAGGTAATTGAGCACATACTTATATTTGGTGGTGTAGGTGATATATCATAATATTGTTTTGTTAAAAGATGTTTCAATTCTGCGAATGTCGGTCGATTCGCCGGTGACTTTGACCAAGTTTTACAGATAATGGACCAATATGATTCACTACAATTTGATGGCTTTGGTAACAACTCACTGCTAATAACACGTCGAATAACATCGTTATCATCACTAATTTTTGCCCACGGAATTGTTCCTCGAGAATAAGCTTCCCACATTAAAACTCCCATCGAATAAACATCTGATTTTTCTGTATAATCATCTTGTGTTACATTTTTTGAAAATATTTCCGGTGCAACATATCGTACAGGAATAATATTTAAAGTAGTTTTTGCAGCACCTAGTGCTAATGCATATAATCTACTATGTCGACTAAGACCAAAATCAGTTATTTTAACAATATTATTTCTTGGATTATCTTCATCAAAACGAAAAACAAGCACATTACGACATGCTAAATCAGCATGAACTATACCATTAAATGCTAGAAAAATCATTGCATTGATAATCTGTAAAAATATTTCCACAAGAATTTTTTCGACAGGGACTTTTTTTCGTTCTTGTAATAAATCATATAAACTTCCCATAGGTGCATGTTCTTGTAATAGCATCACTGCATTATTTTCATCTTCATCATTATCATCACGTTCTTCATATACAAAACCATATGTTCTAACAATATGTGGATGACGACTGAGATCCACCTAGAATGATGCTTCTTTTTTTGCACGAGCACCATCAATTTTTAAAAGTATTATTTCCGGACGATTATTATTTGTTGGTAACCATTCAGCATAATAAATAGTCTTACCAAATGTTTGAAATAATGGTCGACCTGCTTTCTTTTTTACATCAATATCAAGAATATATTGATCATTTTTATTCTTTAATGATTTTTCAAAATGATCAACTGCTTTTTTTATAGCATAATTTGGATATAAATGTTCCAGTGATAATGGTTGATCAGTAATTGGACTTCGACCCTCTTTTTGAATCCATTCTACAATAGCTTCTCTTTCATAGGTATGACCATCTTGAGCTAGGACTGGATCACGAAATAATCCAAGTGTTATTGGACATAGTAATGAATCATCTGGTTTATCCATATCCTAAAAATGATGATTTTCAAACTCTGCTGTATACCAAATAATAGAAAGAAATCAAGAACTCACTTTAAAGTATAGCTGTGATGTTATAATTCATAAGTAAAAAAAACTACACATATGTTAGCAGTCCAACCAAGTCTTTTTTCTGAATGGATGGTGCGGGTCAGCACTACGTAAAATTTACTGTGTCCAAAAATTCTTAATTTTAATTCAGTCCTAACGATTCGTCCAGTAAAGCTCTTATAGATATAGATATTTTATTCGAAGAGTCATCATGTTTTGTTATTATTATTATTTCCTCTTTGGATAGAAAAATGAAATCGTGTCCGAGAAAATTTTTTTCATTAAATGAACCGAACAAACATGAATTTACTCTGTTATAAGCACCAAGAACTAGAAAAAAACTTTTATGATGATACGATTTTCCTAATTCAATATTTGTTATCTCTTAAAATATACTTTTTGTTCTACTAATAAAACATCAATGTAATCTAAGTAAAAGATAATACTTTTTGGTTTTTTCTTTCTCTCTGCATTAAAAAGTGCATTAATAGAACAAATGTATGTTCTTAGTTTTTGAAGACTTACAAAAAATGTTTTTTCTTTCTGATAAAGGATCTAAATATTGTAACTGAAGAAAATAACTGACAGATATGTTTTCATCGTTATGTTAATATAATAAATAAAAATAAGTAGCAATAACATTTTTATTCAATCGGCTAATCAACCTATCTATTATCTCTATCTACGCAGTAACGATTTCTGTTTCTTTTCCAAATGTTTAAAAATCTCGAATATGCCAATGTATTTAGAGCCATCGGCAACTGCTAAATAGTCGATCGGTTGTAAACAGAAAAATCGTGATACTCACTCGATCAATTCTTCGATGTTGGAACTCTTGAATGTATTCTGATTGTAGTAAAATAAAAGTAAATATTCTCGTTGCTTCGATGACATGATTCACTTTCTATGCATTAATGTTCATATCAAGAACAAGAAAGAAGAATCGAGAATGTTTTCTTTTCATGTAGAGGAGAAATATTTTTCTACCTTGCAGTATTAAATCAATTAATACTTAGTTCTATTGAATCAATTATATAATTCTCATTAGATCATTAATCGAATTTCATGTCCGCACTATAGAAATAAATATAGTAGTTCTGTACAATAAAAATCCAAATATGAAATCAATTCCATTCATGAATATGGAACGATGTTCGATCAACTACATGTAAACAAAAAAAGAAAAAGCGTTTCAAGTGTTCGCTCCCTTGCGAGAAGAGCTTTTCTTTCTGCGTTCTGCCAACAACGCCAGTATGTTAATATGCCTCTTTCATTCAAAATAAAATTTTATTTTAAACTTGCACAACTATATGAATTACGAAACTCAATTACATCATGGTACCTTGTCATATTTCACAAGATATTGGCAAAAATCTGAATAAATGATAGCAAAATCTTCTTTTAGTCTGAATATGAGATTTGAAAAGTGTAAATAAAGATTATTCGAAGAAAACACAATACAACTAACTGCTATTAAATTTTGTTAATGTTCAATCTATAGTTTTGACTAGTCTTAATCAATGATATATTGTCGATCATTCATTGATATAAATAATTAGTCCTTCATTAAAATATAACCATATTTTTCTATTTGTATCTTTTTTTGTAAAAAATAGGATGATGCACAAGTAAAATAGACATTTGTTAAGTAGCGTCATCATATGTACATCATCGCTTTTCCTTTTTTTCTTTTATTGTTGTGTGAGTGTATGCCGCCGTTATATATGCCCCGGAAAAAAAATAGTTAGACTCTGTATTTTGAATATATTTCTACTATAACCACACATTTGTTTAAAAGTAATTATATATTCTGAAAATCCATGGAGTTTTCTATCACCCTGTAAAATTAAGTTATAGCTTAGGTCTATTGATTACCAAAATAAATTGAATACAATGAAGACACCATCATATCCAGATTCCCAAGGATGTGATTTTTTCACTGTGATTAAAATTAGTTTTTTAAATTTTTTATCACTACAGAATTATCTTTTTGAAAAAGCAATTATATATTCTGATAGAGCTTGAAATTCTCTATCTCCCTATATATTTGCCAACTGTCTTGCATTTACATATTGCAAAAATAATTTGAGTACAATGAAAAGATCCTTAATTGACGAGTACCAAAAATCTATATGTTTTCGCTATCTTTTTTTAAAATTATTACCCCAAAGAAATAAATTATGTAAAAGAAAGTACACCATTTGATAGCGCGTGAAATTCTCTATCATTCTGTATATTTTTGTCTTGCCTTACGTTTAT